ACACACTTTATAAGCTTGTACTTAAGATATTGATGTTTACACTGCACAGTTTAAAAATTCCGTTCTGAGTTCTTTATAGTGGTAGATGCTATCCATAGTTAATAGAGGAGACTGGTTATGAAGCCCCGCGAACATCAAAGGAGCAAACAAAGATGCCAAGATTTATGTTGGAAGGTCCACGACCGTGCACAGTCTTTTGTTTTGCGCTCATACACTATGCAAGAATTACGTAACCAACACGTTTCTATTGGTTAGTTTCTCAGTACGGAATAAACAACTATTGTGTTTTGTGCACAGTCAAGGCCTGTTGTAAATAAGTTAGGGACTGGAGCTGGTTTGACCTGCGAGGTCTGAGTCGAGTCTTGTGATTGACACTTGAAAAACGTGGGCAGAAAGGAATCGGAGAGAACGGAAAGGAGTCTAGCGTGGACTTTGATCTATCTCTGTATTACGGAAAATATCTATCGGAACACGGAATTAACTCTTAGAACAACATTGTCATATCTCGGAATCTATCAAAGGATCAAAATAAAGAGTATGGATCGATACAACAAGGCCAAAAAAGCGGACAGAAACATACAACAAAGAACTTTGTCGAGTTTCATGACCATTCCCCTCTATTAACTTTGCTCTATCCAAGGATATTATTTTATGAAAATGTAATAGTTGTTTTCTATCTTAAACTTTAACTCTAAATCAAAATTCTAACTCAAACTAATCTAGGAAACTACGAACTCGGTATTCCCTACCACTAATCACTGCTTTGAGTAAACTTAGATAACCGTACTGTCACAGAAAGTATTTCATTAACAATAATAGCATTTTTTAAATAAGAATCAATGTCAGATAATTTTTGTCATAAGCAGGTAGTGGCCAGTAGCATTCAAATTTCATTTCATTTAAAGTGGCACTATGATCAAATTCTCGATACCCAATTTTTTACATTTTCGTAAACAATAGGTCTTTACTAGCTATCTTGGCAAATTTCAATCTATTGCGAACATTAGAACTCATGCTGTTTGGACCTTTATTTCTGAGAATTTACGCCCGCCATTAATTTTCCTTGTTCCAAGTCTTGATTGAGAAT